CCCAGGTGGAACCATTACTTAAGACATTCCTTGGACATCCTGATGCATTTTATGTTCAATACCGCTTATTAGGTAAAGATTCTAAAATAACATATGTTGTGGCTATATTTGCATTATCAGCATGCAAAACTTGCAAGCAATTAGTCAAACTGTAGATTAGGTGGGATAAATAAGTTTTACAGCAGTAGTATAATTTATTTATATTATTATTATTATTATTATTATTATTATTATTATTATTATTATTCTGCTATTTCATACATCATTTTTATCTGGGAATGCAAATGAAATTTGATTTCTTTGTTAATTCAATCAAATAAATGTCATATCCATACATTTGTATCATTGTTTATTATCTCCAGTTATTTAGCCTGTTTATTTTTATTATGTTTAACATAGACTTTAAATATAGGACAAAACTGTAATATCTGTTATTACCAACATATAGGGATTTTATACGTATATTAACTAATATTATACTATGTGATACTACAAAAAAATATCAATAATATTTATACCAAATTTTGTTTGTGTGTGTGTGTGTATCACAACACAATATAACTATTGTTTTATCTCATGGTTTTATATTATCTTATGCTGGTCAATGATAATGAAAATGTTGATTTGAAAAGTTCTGTATCAGCAACTACCATTACAAATCAGTACTTCCTTAAGTGAAAACAGGTTCAGTTTCTTACCTCAGTAAAAAATAAACAGACCACTAAACTGCCCTTCATTAAACTTTCAAATCTTCATGAAACTTTTTATTCTAAACCCCATCCCAACTATGGAAAAAGTTGGGATGGGATTTAGAATAAATTAAGCAAACTATAAAAGAATAGCAGATGTGGTACAATGGCAAGATTGAAAAACTAAATGTACTGATGCATTAGGTTGTAAGCTACAGAATTACATTTAGCATTGACAAATGTGATGTATTTTATTTTGAAGGAGGAAGAGAGGAAAACAAAAAATCCAAATGTTCAAACTGGAGAAACTGGTTGAATTCCAGCATTGTTAAAGAAACTTGTGCCTTACTGGAATGTGATCTAAACATGAGTCAACTGACCGACCTTACAATAAAGAGATGTAGAAGGAAACAATAAATCCAAATATTGAGCTATAATCCACAGACTCCTATTTCATAAGGGCAAATATGTAGCATTATACTTTTCAGAGGAAAAGCAATACTCCAAAGGGTTAAATTTAAGAAGTGGAAATTGCTGAGTTCTATTGAATTCATAGGCCCAAACAATGGGAACTAGGAAAGCAACTGAAAGCTAAGATATCACATTATAAAAGATCATCAAACGCCATGTATGTATGCATATTATCCAAACACACAGTGTGAACAAATAGGTCTGGGGGACATGACTCTAAAGCAAATTGGAAAGTTTTATAATATTGAATGTTAATCACTAGAGACCCTGTTGAGAGTGCTCTGCCAAAGGCACCGCCCTTCCTTTGCCATGCCACTTTTATATCTCTTTTCCCATCTTAATATGCTGTTTTTCCCCCTCCTACTCCAACCAATTTCTCTACTCTGCATTTAGGAACAGCCTGCTTGGAGATTAAACAAAAAATTAATGATTGACTGAACTGGAACAGCTCCTTTGCAACAAATAGAAATGTTGATACTCAAGCTTGTAACGGAGAACACAGCAGCTGCCAAAGTGTAGAACGGACTTCAAAACAATCTTCATGTCTGCCTCAGCTCTCCACAACCTATCAAACATGACTGCCTTTCCAAGGATTGGGAAAAATCCCAGATTTCCTTGAATATATTATCTACTCTATACTTTCTCCAGACACCACATTTTATGTCAATGAAAGACAGAATAAAAAATAGGCACTGGCGGCAACAAAGGTCTGTGAGTGACAGAATAGCAGAATGGCAAAACAGCTGAGAAAGAGCTGATTCTGAAGTTTACGTGACCTTGTGGATCAGAATGCCCAGGTCCAGTGCTTTGCAGGCAATTCTGCCTAATGAATCCTTTTAGGATTATGTAAAATGATCAATAAAAACATCCTGACCAGGGAAAGCCAGCATACATACATTTTAACTCATATCTGAGAAAACTTAGCATTCACAAGAATAAGAGAACTGGTGCTTTCATGGAAAGGTAACTGTTAAATACAACAAATACACTATTGTTCAATATGCCTGTTAACCTTAGATTCATTTTTTAAAGGATTAGATAAATTATATAAGTTTTTAAATAGCTCTTTGCCATCATAGTTAAAGAGTAGTAGTAAAACACAAACTAAATGGGGAATAGATGGCTATTCTTGGAAGCAAAATATTGCACCACAGAGATCTTTGAAGTTACTTATAACTAACTAATTTGTAGCTTCAAATTCAATGATCTGAAGGTCCAGAAGAACAGTTACTAGAAGACTCACAACTTTCAGTAGCTATTATTCTCAACCCCTTTAAGCTGCGACAGGCTACAACACTGAGTTTAGAGAACTATATCTAGCCTTAAAAGAGAAAGAAACAATAACTTTCAGGAAGGCCACAAGGGCTAGATTATCAAGTTGTCTACAGCCTGAATACATATCAACATGCAACACTATTGTCAAAAGGATCTTAACATTTTGAGTTGTATCACAAGAAGCATTATATCCAAGATAAGGAATCATAGTCTCAGGGTCTGTCTCACCATTCTAAAGGATGAAGCAGGGTCTCCTCAGGGTCAAACTGCATGATAAAGCCTCCAGCATACTCTTAATTGTGTTGCTGTCCTATGCTTGTATACAATGGTGGGGCGGTGGGAGTTTAAAGCTGAAACTGTACAGTGCTATGAAGTGATCTGAGCTTCAATTCCATTTGGATAGAAACTTGACTATAGTTAAGCATGCTCTAGGTCCTAGTGAATTTCAACTTAAACATTTGAATGGGCAGCCCATTTGCTGCCTTAGAACTTGGGGTTAGTTCAAAACACAGCCTTTGGGCTATTAAGTAGAATAAGAGGCATTGTAAACCCACCTCACCAAGGCTCGAAAAGTTCTATACGAGGTTTCTAATTTATGTTGAAACATTGTTCAAAGAGTGGTGCTTGTATTTAAACCTTGCACAAACATGCTAGATGAAGAAATCATCTTATCCCATGTCTATCTTCTTCAGGGACCTTCCTCCAAGTGCCCAAGATATATGAGCCAAGGGAGAGGGCTATAGAGGACAGACTTCTTTCTGCTTTGGACTTGGCTGGGGAGTCTCTCCCCAGTGTACCAGACACAGACTTTTATTTCTCTCAGGTGTTTAACCTCTGGAATATTTTTAGTAAATAAATATATGGTTTTAGTCCTGCTTTCTATTACAATTTCCTATTAAAATGTTAAATATAATACTTTTTAAGAAGAGAAACAAAACACCACCACCTCCTCCAGCTGAATCAGTAGTGGTCAGTTGCAAGTTCTTCAAGGCCATGAGGAGGAAAAAGTCTAGGCAACCAAGCCTGATAAACAACCCAGCAGAGGATGTAGCTCCTCCTCTCCACCACCCCCACCCCATTTTTCCTGTTAAAACGCAGTCCTGTTGCACGTTGGCAGAGCCACAATGAAATAAATGGGGCCTTGCCGTTACAGCTGCTTACATTTACATTCAGCCATAATATTGAAGATTTCAGAAGACTGTGCTAAGATAGTATATATGTTTACTATTTTAATTTATGTAAGTGATGAAAAGGAGCATTTTCTGTTTCTGGCACCAAATTTGTTGCGTTATATCTGGATAACTGTACCACTTAACACTTCTTGAGGTCTTCCACAGAAGTTTCATTTGAAGTTTTGAGACAATTTAGTAGAAAAGAGCAGAAATCATATAACAAAAAATGCATGAAGGCAAGTAGAAGGTTTCTTGATCGTTTCTCCTGGAGCAGATCTCAGAAACAAGAAAGAGCGTGTGGGCTCTTTCTTCCTTTCTTTCTGCTATGTGGTGAGCTGATCCCTACAACTTTCCTCCTTCACATTCAGACTATGAACTCAGTGCCTAGCGTCTGCCCATGGTTCAAGCAGACCTTTTCCTTTTGTTCCCTTTTTTAAAGTGACTACAAAGTTATCAGATCAAATGCTTATTGAGTGCTTTGTTCTTATTTACACAAGGTTCTTTGCACTTTAAAAAAAATCTGAGAAGAGTTGATTGACACTGAAGCTAGACAAGAAAAAGTGTTTTCTGACTGACATAAAGAAAAATCTATTTGTATAAAGTAGCCTATTTTTTACCATAACCCAGAAAAACAGGTTATCCCAAGTTCAAATCGGGGAGGAAGTCATTTATGTAAAATGCCACAACTCTACTATGTATTTCTCCATTTCTCAAAGGGATGAGAAAGTAAAACTGATGTGTAAAGTCATGCTAAATCTTCATCACTTTAATATGAAGCAGGGGTGGGAAACTGTAACATGCAGGCTGCACCTGGCCCCCAGACTTAGGTTTCATAACCACCAGAAATTGTAGAATTGTGGCAGCAAACTACCAAAAGACAACAAAGTGTAGCTTTTCAGATTTTTTTAATGGAGAAAAAGAAAAATGGAATATAAGCCTTTCACATTAAAAAATAGATATATTGTACTAATTTCTAAAAACGAATGTCTCTTGGAAGCACCAGGTCCCATCCATTTAGGGTACTGCCACAACATTATTCTACCCACCAAAGGCTGCGGCTGCAGTTGCATTTTTTTAATAGAAAAAGGTTTAGCCCTGAGCTGCTTTTCATTTATAATGTTTCTTAAATTCTTCTCTTCAAAAGGAAAATATTAAAAATGTGATAGCAAATTACTGAAGAACTTGAATCTTAGAGACTGGCAAAGATGGCAAAGGGATGAATTAAAACTAACTATTTGGAAATAAATGCTATTTTTTATGAACAAAACTATAGCATGCATTGATTTTTCAATACAAGCAGTCTCAAAGGTTAGTTCATCTTTTTCAATATCTGAAGAAATATTGTTGAATAAATAAATGCACCATAAACAAATAGTAGATGGTATTTACCTTCCAGGCTCAAGTAACAGATGGACAATCTGTAACTTATACCCTTCTCAAGACCCTTATTATCATATTGTTCAGTGCTTGGGCTCCAGTTAAACCTGGTACAATAAATCAACATTATTCTCATCACAGAATGATAAAATTGAGTGTC